TGGCTTCACAGAGAAGGAACAGTGCCGGAACTGCTGGAAAAAGAAGGAGCTGCCCTTGAGGTGGTTTGCGTCACCAAGCCAGACTCAGGAGGGCACAGGAGGAGGCTGGATGACTTGCCATCTGCGGCCATTGTAGTGATATCGGCAGCTCCTCTGTCATTAGGACAGCGATGGCAATTTGCCTTGAAAAATATATTGTAAAATCCAGTGAATTTCCTCCCCTGTATCTTGGAGGTTTAGGAAGAACTGAAATGGATTCCAAACTGTTTTGAATTAACAAAAAGAGCTTTTGCCTGTTTCAGAGTTCCAGCTGGAACTCTTCTAGACTTTTTCTTCACAAAACAGCAAACACTCAAGGGGGCAAAACATCCACCAGAGTGTCCTGGGGCTTGTCAGCTTCACTGAGCTTTATGCTTGGCTTTGGCTGCTGGGTAGGTTTTGGGTGTTTGCTAGGGTGGCTGGCATGATGTTGCGGCGCCAGTTGCAAACATGGCTTTGCTGGAGGCAGTTTTATTACTCTTGACGCCGCCCAGCCTGTCAGTAAGACTAGGGAGTGCAAGGAAAGTTATTGCTTACCATGATGACCAAGGAAGCACTGTTCCTGGCTTCTAGATATGGGCCTACTTTAGGGATACAGTGAAGAGAGAGCAGGTTGCAGCCACCAACACAAGAGTGAGTTTATTGACCACAATCCACTGGCCAGAGCCAGAGGGGGCAGTTAGGACACCCAGGTTTCAATGTTAGTTCCATTGTGGCACTAGTTGTTGAATCTTACACAAATCGCTTAAGTCTATGACCCTCACTTTTCTTTCTGTGAAATGAGAATTAAGAGCCTAGGAGCACTGTCAGGATTGAATGAGAGAATGTACATGAAATGCTCTTAAAAAGGTACAAAGTCCTGAACTTTGGTTCTAGAATAGGTTGCTGTTCCTTTTATTTAGTTTAATTTTTGTCCCCAAGCTCAGGGGAGAGAGAGGGGAGAAAGACTCAAGAAGAACTAGGTCATCTTTCTCAGCAGCTTGATTTGAGAGCTGAGTGAACAGCGGAGATGCTAAGCCCGGGCAAATCTAAGTACCAATCAAATGGTATCAGCAGTTTTTAAGGCTGAAGTTTAATGGCAGCAATCTTAGGTAGCAACTCCAGTTTCCCCAGCAAATACTGAGTTGGGTCAAATCAGTTACTTTCATCTAAAAATCTCCTCTTTGGGTCCTCTAGGGACACCCCCATTAATCCCCAATTCCTTACCCCCGCCCACTCGTAGATGATGCACATCTTGCTCATCTTTCTTTTAGTCTGGGGCCCTAAGTGCCTTTGCTGAAGTGAAGTTCTTCTGTGAGTCCACAGCCAGCTCAGGAGGAGGCCAACTGGATCCCCACCAAAAGCACTTCTTTCTGAAACCACCAAAGTAATTGATAGACTTTAGAGTAAACTGCAGAGGAGAAAAGAATCACTCTTGTTAAGACTGGGTAGGATCAGAAATTTGTTTAGTGGATGAAAGCCTTTTGCTTAGCTGAATGGAAAATCTGGAATAGGAGGAAAAACCAATTGAGAAATTTTGTCTTACTCTAATGAAGCACAATCAAGCAGGTGGATCTCATCCTCTATGCCTGAGACTCAGATCTCACTTCATAAAGCCCAGAATTCTCATGACTGTTTCTTGTATAGACCTTGCCTAGTAGAAACTAAGTACCTTTGAATGGCTCATTTCAAATGCTTCCCTTCGTGTATGTGGGTAGGAATACAAACTGCTATGAACATACACATATATGAATGTATATATCTATATATACATGAGTGTGCACGTAAACTTCTTGATAGGAAAAATAGGACTTTGTTAATTCTATTTTATCCTGAGGGCAAAGCCCTTTACTTTTCACTTACACCTTTCTGTACTCTTTCAATTATAAGATGACCGTGTATTACTTTTATTTAAAAAGTTAATGAAAAGTCGGCTGGGCACGGTGGCTCATGCCTGTAATCCCAGCACTTTGGGAGGCTGAGGTGGGCGGATCACAAGGTCAGGAGATCGGGATCATCCTAGCTAACATGGTGAAACCCCGTCTCTATGAAAAATACAAAAAATTAGCCGGGCGTGGTGGCAGGCGCCTGCAGTCCCAGCTACTCGGGAGACTGAGGCAGGAGAATGGTGTGAACCCGGGAGGCGGAGCTTGCAGTGAGCAGAGATAGCGCCGCTGCACTCCAGCCGGGGCGACAGAGTGAGACTCCATCTCAAAAAAAAAAAGTTAATGAAAAGTATTAACGAAGAGTATGTAATGACATGGGAAATTGACTAAGTGAAAAGAATAGACATGGGATATATAGTATGCTTAGGAAAAATATTTGAAATAAATTAAATATTAATATATTTCCAAATTTTATTAAACATAAAATGTGCCTTAAAATGGCAGATAGATAGTCTGGGTGGCTATTGTCTGCATGTGGCTCAATAGTCTGCAGTGGCTCATGCCTGCAATGCCAGCACTTTGGGAGACCGAGGCAGGTGGATCATCTGAGGTCAGGAGCTTGAGACCAGCCTGGCCAACATGGTGAAACCCTGTCTCTACTAAAAATGCAAAAATTAGCTGGGTGTGGTGGTACATTCCTGTAGTCTCAGCTACTAGGGAGGCTGAGGCAGGAGAGTCGCTTGAACCTGGGAGGAGGAAAACCCGGTTGTAGTGAGTGGAGATCACGCCACTGCAAGACAGAACGAGACTCCATTTCAAAAAATAAAATAAAATAAAATGAAGTAAAATAAAATACAAGATAAATAATATCAACTGTTTTTCTAAACTGGTTTTTCAAAATTTAATATTTTTCTTCTGGCAAGCCTTATACTGGAATCTCATCCTTTTTTGCTGAATTAATCAAAGATACCAGAGAGTCAGGGATTAATTTAGGAAGTAGATGTGGTCAAGATATTAAACCATGCCAGGTAGTATATTTTTGTTCTATTAAACATAATATCGGCCGGGCGCGGTGGCTCATCCCTGTAATCCTAGCACTTTGGGAGGCCGAGGCAGGCGGATCACCAGAGGTCAGGAGTTTGAGACCAGCCTGACCAATACGATGAAACTCCATCTCTACTAAAAATACAAAAATTAGCCGAGTGTGGTGGCATGTGCCTGTAATCCCAGCTACTCGGGAGGCTGAGACAGGAGAATCCCTTAAACCCAGGAGGTGGAGGTTGCAGTGAGCCGAGATCGTGCCATTGCACTCCTGCCTGGGCAACAAGAGCGAGACTTTGGCTCAAAAACAAAAAACAAACAACAACAATAAAAAGCTATAATATCAAGTAGTTATTTTAAAGCGAATCACAACTGGACCCTGGACTTACAGCTCCAAAGGTAAACTATGGGTATTGTGATCTATTTGCACCCTAGGCATTTAAAGGCCGGTATTCCACATGATGTGATGGTAGAGAGTATAGAGTCTGAGCCAGCATGCCTGGTTCACAGTCCTGTCTCCATCTTTTGCTAGCCACGTGACCTCAGGCAAATGAGAAAACCTCTCAGCGCTTTGGTTTCCTCATTTGTAAAATAGTCCTTACTTCCCTGAATTGTTGTAAGGATTGAATAAATATGCACAAAGTGCTTAGAATACTGCCTGGCACACAGCAAATACTAAATAAATGTTTGCTGTTCTTATGACTACTGCACTATGCACCTGATTTCAGAAACATTCTCCTTTCAACTGGACAACAAAAGATCGTGCTCTTTATAACACATTGTGCAGTTATACACAGTTTACCACTATCCCCCGAAGGGTTTTTCACAGAGGATATACTGTAGAGTACATATAAAAAGCTCACCTGAAGTCCACTTCAATAGGAAAACTTGCCACTTAAAAAATTTTTTATACAGAGAGATGAAAGTAAAACTTTCTTCTACTCATGAGAGGCTATTGAAAGTAAAGTTTAGATTGGGCGTGGTGGCTTATGCCTATAATCCCAGCGCTTTGGGGGACCAAGGCGAGAAGATCACTTGAGGTTAGGAATCTGAAACCAGCCTGGGCAACATAACGAGACTTCATCTCTACAAAAAAATTTTAAAAATTAGCAGGGCATCTTGGTGTGCCCCTGTAGTCCTGGCTACTCAGGGGCCTGAGGTGGGAGAATCACTTGAGCCCAACTGTAAAATGGCCATGTATTACTTCTATGAAGTGGCATGATCATAGCTTACTAACTGCAGTTAGAAGCTGCAGTGAGCTATGATCATGCAACTGCACTCCAGTTTGGGTGACAGAGTGAGGCCCTGTCTCACAAAAAAAAAAAAAAAAAAAAAAAAAGGAAAGGAAAAAAAAGCCACACTCAGTAAAAAATCTGGCTTTTGGAACTGGTTAGTCAGATCATGTACTTGCAGGGCCAAAAATACAACAAATTGCTAAATAACTAAATTTATTTCTATGTTGTGTGTTCGGTTCAGATTGCATTCTTAATCACAACCAACTACCTCACAAAGGTATTTTGAAGGGAAGCCATCAGAGGAATCCACACAAGAGAGTGGGTGGAGGTCAGTAGGTATGCCTTAATTCCTGATATCACGAAAGCAATTCAAAGTAGTATCTTACTGTTGGAAGGGCAGGAGCATGATTTGACCAGAAACACTTAGTAGTTCCTTCTCTACGTCAAGTAAGCATTGTCTTAAGCAAAGTTATACATGCCATTACTTACAGGAACCAAAGATTAGATTGGCCTCTAATCTTCCTTTCTGGAAAGGAAAGAAAGAGAGAAAGAAAAGAAAAAGAAGAGGGCATTTGATTGGAAAAACTATATTGTTGAGGGAAGAAAGAGAAGATCCTGGGTTACTCATAACTTTCATACTGCAAACTTATGATACTCTTTCTTGGTACAGTGTTTTGCACGTGTAGAGGTGATTCATGGCATTATGCCATTGGCACTTAAAGCGACAAAGAACGCAGACTAATAAGGAAATCCAAAATTCTTTTGGCCATCCCACCATCATCCCACCCTCTTTCATAGAGGATCAAAAGACAAATCTTACCTCCACTGAGAATAATGACAGCAATAAATATTGCCAAGTCGCTGTCATCTAATTCCAGTGCATTGAACTTCACAGCAAACTCGAACTTGGGCTCCATAAAGTCACCAAAAGGCTTTCGCAGGCTTTTTAGAAATTCCCTTGTCATGAAGCCTTGGCCCTCGGATATGAGAACCCCATCTTTATTCATCAAGGAGGCCAGCATTGTATAAATGATCTCATGGACTCCATATTTGAGGAGAGTTACTTGGTCGTTCAAGTCAAGATTTACGAAACCAGGAATGCTTTTGGCATACTCTGTGATCTCCTGCACAGCCTCCACGGAGCGAAACTGGCAGCCCTGAAAGATGCGGATGGCCACCTCTTTGCTCTGCTCCTGCAGCGGGGTGATGTGTTTGAACTTGATTTTATCTTCTCCCATCATTAAGGAATTCATGTCATAGATAACGAATGGCTGCAAATAAAACAGGGAAAACATGGGTGACTTGGAGATTTCTAACTTAGTGAATGCCATCCCAGTTCAGAAAACTGTTTCTTTATGTAAACTTGCTTTGCTAACTAAAATCTTTAAAGCTGAAGATGCTTAATAATGAGAAAATACTCTCAAGTTCTTTTATTCATCTTAATTATCTTCTGGGACCAAACAAATTTCACCAATTTTGGTCTTCTTTCCCTTTAATTTACACTGTAACACTTTACCTATGACTGGCTAAGAATCCCAATTTCTTTTGTTTGGGGAGTCTTCACTGTTGATTTTTATATTTATTTATTTATTTTGTTTGTTTTTGAGACAGAGTCTTGCTCTGCTGCCCAGCCTGAATTACAGTGGCACAATGAGGGTTCACCGCAACCTCCACCTCCCAGGTTTAAACAATTCTCATGCCTCAGCCTCCTGGGTAGCTGGGATTACAGGCACACACTGTCACGCTCGGCTGGTTTTTGTATTTTTAGTAGAGACAGGTTTTCACCATGTTGGCCAGGCTGGTCTTGAACTCCTGGCCTCAAGTGATCTGCCCGCCTTGGCCTCCCAAAGTGCTGGGATTCCAGGCGTGAGTCACCATGCCCAGCCAATTGTTGATTTTTAAAATGATACAAAATCTACTGTTTATCTTGGCTTTCAATGAAATACACTTTTAACCTTCTTTCAATAAAAAATCATTTCAGCAACTCAGGGTTGAAAATACCCACTTGAACATAAAGCAACTTTAGAGGCTTAAAACAATTTTTTTTTCTTAAACTTTTTTTTTCCTTTTCCTTTGTTCTCCTTCACGAGTAATAACTTTTCAGTTTTAGATGAAATCCTCTCAGATCGCAAATGAAACTATGTGCACATAAAATATGCTTAACTATTAAAAAATCACTCTGAAAGCAGATTAGAGCTATTGAACCAAGAAAATGTCTATTTCTTTTTTTAATGCTCTGGAAGCCATCTATTTCACAAAGAGCAGATATAGAAGGCCTATAGGTGAATGCTGCAAAAAACAGTTTTGAATTTACATTTTAAAATATCTGTCCTTACAGGTCAATCAATAAAATACATGCCCCAGTTATTTAAGTTTGCAATAGGCTGCTTTCAAAAGTTAAGTCATTTGGTCATGACATTATCTCTCTCTCACTTCCCTTGTATAGAACTAACCAAAGTCTGTAGTCATTAAGAAATTCTCAAGGCTGCTCTAAGGGGCAACATTTTACTTACACCGGATACACTGAAAGACACATAAGGAGTTAAACCTTGAATCCTGTTCAAATACTTGTATACCTGAAAGCACTGGAAGAAGAGCTGAGGGTATCTGCATTCTAGCTTTGGTTCTGTGGTGAACTATGCGACTTAAGAAAAGTCATTTACCTTTCCTAGGCCTTAAATTTCTCAATCAGGGGTTTCCACCTCTTCTCCAGAGGAAATTCTAGTTGTATTTCTCAGAAGCAGGATGTGTGTGGGGAGTGGGCATGTGTGTGGAGAGCTGTGAGTGTGCATGCACAACAAACATGAAGTCTCTGATAGACTAAAAGTAAACACTGTTTTGAGCAGAGATGTTGAGAATTCTCTCCTGAATGGGCACAGAGAAGGTGCATGAGTGGCCGTGGCAGCTGGCTTCAAGATGCACCGGTTGGAGATTCTATTCATATCTATGGAACTCTATGATTTTCATCAAAAGATTAAGTTTGTTCTATACTGGAGGAAGTAACACCAACATTAAGGACTCTCAGATGTTAAATATATTTCCAAACTTGTACGTCACGTCAACACCCTTTACTGGAGTTATTCTGGAAGTTTTTACTTTTGTTACAAAAAAATTCACTTCAACTGTACTACTTACCAAACTCCAAAAGGGGACAGATGTGAGGACCCCAGAACAGGTTTACCTGGTGGCTCTAATTTTTCAAGGGACCAAACTGTCCGTACCGTATTTCTTAAACATTTCGCTTGGGTGGTTTTTTTCCTTTTTCTTTTTTTCTTTTCTTCTTTTCAGGATTAATATTATTAATGGGAGAAATAAAAGGGGGGCAGAGCAAGTAACATCAATGAAAATTTACTGTATTTTTCCAGAATGTCAGGTTCTAATTATGAGAAAAATTTGAATGGATAATGATGCTGTCACAGAACCTAGAGAAAACGTGTTTCTTTGTTCTACAGGCATTTTATAGTGTATTATAATATATATTAATGAAATACTGACTTTCTTTTTCTAAAAAAAAATTATTTCATTTTTTGAGATGAGGTCTTGCTATGTTGCCCGGGCTGGTCTTGAACTCCTGGGCTCAAGCAATCGTCCTGCTTTGGCCTCCCTAAATGCGTGCTAGGGTTACAGGTGTGAGCCACCACAACTAGCCTTTATTGGCTTTCTTTAATGTCATGAGAAAATGATGGTCTGGACACCTGAAAAGACCAACTGCACATGCAGGAGTACAAATAACATGAATACAAAATCATCGCCTTTTCACATGTGGAAAGACTGTACCCAGAACTGCCCACTTCAACTTTCAGAGGAGCTTCTGCTCAACCATTTGGCTTCTTGGCACAGAACATATGCATGAAATTCTTTCACCTCCATGTAAGTGATTTATCTGGAAGTATGCCCTGATAAATCACCCTTGTCACTCTTCCCCTTTACTTCCCCTGTCCCCTCATATAAAGCTCCAGGTTCCTGTTTTCGAAACTCTGTAATAGTTGAACACAGGGCACAAAATCCTGCTAATTTTCTCTCCCAATTTAACAACAATGTGACTTTAACCCCTTGGCAATTGATGTTGGTCAGGATTTCCTGGCAGTAAATACTCAAGGACAGAGAGAGGAATCAGCACCCCACCATCATGCCAAACCATTTCAGTTTTTTTTTTTTTTTTGAGATGGAGTTTCGCTCCTGTTGCCCAGGCTGGAGTGCAATGGCGCGATCTAGGCTCACTGCAACCTCCACTTCCCGGGTTCAAGCGATTCTCCTCAGCCTCCAGAGTAGCTGGGATTACAGGCACCCACCACCATGCTCGGCTATTTTTTTTTTTTTTTTTTTTTTTAGTAGAGACGGGGTTTCGCCATGTTGGCCAGGCTGGTCTTGAACTCCTGGCCTCAGGTGATCCACCCACCTTGGCCTCACAAAGTGATGGGATTACAGGCATGAGCCACTGTGCCAGGCTCCATTTCAGCTTTTTCAGTCCTTTCTGCATTCTGAAGAAGAGGTGAACTAGCAGAGAATTCTGGGTGTTGACATGCAAATGAACACCAGTTGTTTTTTTTTTTTTCCTAATCATATCTGATTATACTGTTTTCACTGCATTTCTGAAGGATGCATAGATTCTTTCTCTGTCAAACTGCAAGAGAGATCCCTGGGTGGGCGTGGTCTGCCTTTCTTTGCAACCAATTCACCAATTCTTAGATTGCAGACAGTTCACTTAGGCGTTACTTTCATATTTCACAGGGAACCTCCTTACCTTCAAACCTAGAGAGAAGATCGTGGCCAGCCTGCTTCATGGAGAGAGAGAACCTTTTAAAACCCTGGTCAAATTTGGTCTGCATAATTTTATCTTGAATCATTAATTTAACATGACATTTGGTACAATGTGGTACAATGTTCCATACAAAATGTACTGTACTTCCACGGCCGTGTTTTTGTATTTTTTACAAAGCAAAGTGGAGTCCTTACACTTGCCATCAGCCTGGACAGTATTATCCAAAGATTGCCATTATAGCAGCTGTATCATTCTCAAATTTTGTCTTAATGATTTAACACTTCTAGTTTGGGGCTAATAGTGTATTTATCTTCAGACCCTACATCAAATGGCTGGGTAAGCGTCCCTCCTTAACAGGAAAGAAAGCTTAATTACAGCTAGGACATGATGGGGTGAATTCAGGTTTTGTGGTGCATAAAATGTACACAGTAGTGGGGCCTCTCTAAGGAAGGTATTACAAATTATGAGAATAAAATTGCTTGGGCCCTTCCCCAAGCACTGGAAGGAGCTCTGCACAAGGGAAGGGCCCCATGAAGCTTCATTAGCTTCATAGCGAATCTGTCACTGGTCATTGTGTGCTTGTGCTTTTCATATATTGGACAGACCAGAATAGAATGAAGAAAGCTGCACTTGAACCCAGTGTTTCTCCAGGAAAGCAAAAAGATTTCTGTAAGGAGAAATCAATTTTTTGAGGGATACATCAAATATAATTAATTTTGATATATTTAAATTTTCAATATTTTGACACATTTTGATTTTCAATTTTGACATATTTTGATTTTCAAAAATATATTTTGATTTTCAGAATAGGATTAAAGTACTGTTTTATATAGATGAGTAAATTCAATTATGGCATGCTTCCTATGTAGAATACAAAGACAATGGGGGAAATGGGATTAATGATGAAAATAGAGTAATTAATTTTTTTTAACCTTTTTGAATGGAGAAATAGAACAGTACTGTTCCTGAGAAATCCAATAACATCAGCATTTTAACATGAGTTATGAAAGGTATTATACATGAATGCTCTATGTTTATAATCCTTTTGAATAACAAAATAGCAAGCTAAGGAATTTTCATAAACATGAAAATCACTCAAAAAGCACAGGGTATTCTGGGTGACTTTTCTAATTTGGCAGATTGAATGAGTGTAGTCAACCCGTCTACCCTCTCTCAATCACTTGAGGTAACCCTGTCAGAGTAAAAACTGGCTTGGAAAAATGTGGGCCTCATCAAGTGTGGCTTTCCTGATGTTCCTAGTTTTACCAGGGCAAAACACTGAATTCTTAGGGCTCATCTTCATTTTGTTTCCTTCTTCCTTTTTACACATCTGACTTTCATCACCTGTGGCACACGCGGTTCTCCTCGGTTAGCTACAATCCAAAATTCATTGGTTTGGTTTCCTCAGCCTCTTGCTGGTTTCTGCCCGTTGTTCCTGTTTCCCTCTTGTTGAGAACCATGAGATTTATAGGACAAAAGGGGTCTTCAGAAATAATCTGCCCCATCATT